GGCCTGGGCCTGGGCCGGGGGCGAGAGCACGGCGCCCGCCGCCCTGGGGGCTCGGGGGGGCCCCAAGTTTACAACAACCATTTGCCTCACATGCCGCACCAGCAATAAAATCCCTGTGCAACAGCAAAGGTGTTTTCCTTAGTGGGCCGCTTGGAGGCCTCTCCGCTTGCTCCCCGTGATCTGAGGCGTGGCGGTGCTCGCAGCACGTTCTCGGTGGCAGGGGCAGGTTTAATGCTTGTCCTTACTCCGAACCGCACCAGAACTTCATCCCCTGCTTGGGAACGCTCCGACACCGCTGCTGCGGCTAAAAGGACGGGACAGTGCTCCTCCGAGGCAGCGCGGGCTGTTTTCATACAGTGGGGAAAAGCGCAGCGTCTCCCCCAACCTCCCAAGCCCTTCCTCGGCTTGGTCCTGCAGAGCTATTTGTTTCTGCTCCCCTTTTCCATAGACAGGCCTCCCACGGAGATGAGATCTGCAACCTCTCAAGCCTTGCACAGATGGAAAGCACAGCTTTGAACTGAGCCCTGCTTTTTTTTGAGGGGGGAGGGTGTGGTGTTGGGCTTTTTTTAAACAGATAAGCCCTGGATGATAAGGAAAAGAGCATTAACAAACAATTACAGGAGTTGACTCTCGTGAAATCATTTATCACTGCAATCCCAAATCCTGCACTGCTCGATTACTCTCTAGACCAGCCTTGTCCCTGACAGCGCTGATCCCGTAACAAAGCTGCTTCCTTGGCTTTGTATTCTGACCAACAACTGTAGTAAGAGCACATCCCAAAACTGCTTGTCTTGTGCAACAAACACAAAAAGATCAGAGGTCTGAACTCAAAGATTTAGACACGCTTCTCTGTAGTTCCTTCCAAAATTATTTGTTAGACTACCTCACTGCCACCATTACAGGGAACTATAAAAGTTTAGTTCAGATCAAGGGGATATAAATGACATAAATGATAATGCAGCTGTAGTGCCACCCTTTACAAATCCTCCATAACCTAACAGAAAGGATACAGCAATTTGCTGTAATTTAGAGAAATCTCCACGGCTTTTCTGAACTCCAGCAAAGGTAAAAAGGGCCAAGAGGCAAGCTGCGAGGGAACAAACTTGGTTCACATTTGCCCACATCTCGCCTCTCCTTGCTAGAAAAGTAGCATGTGGTTTCCTGAGATCTTTGAGCTTTACAGGGGATTTTTATGATAAATCCTCCCATGAATCATTTACAAAACAGAAGCGCAAAGTCCAGGTAGAATTATATTTAACTATTACAGAAAAAAACTGTCATAACTGTACAGTTATGCCCAGTCCAGAAAAGCTCCTTCTACTTACCAGATGTATGAACATCCCTGAGAAGTGGATTATCACTGAGGCTGAATTTGTAGTTCGGGGTTAAAAGTCAACTTTGCGTTTTGCTTCAGAGGATGCTACGGCTGCTCCCGAATCCCTGACCACCTGTGTGACCTTCCTGTCCAGGTACCACAGCAGTGCTTGCCCAGCCCTTCGATGTATAATGCACAAAACCAGATGCCCCACTTCATTTTAAACAGGCACAGACACCTGGTTCCCAGCTCGCATGAAGATCTGCCTCTGCCCACAGAGCTGTTTCCTGCCCCCTACACTGGTTTCCAACGCCGAGATTCACGGCTAGCTGCCCACCGTGCTTTGCAAAAACCAGCCTCACCTCAGAAGACCCAGGAACAAAAGTAGTAAAGAAGCACTAACATCTATTCTTACTCAAGGAAAAGCTGCCTTTTTTTTTTTAGGATTCACAATTTTGGTCTGAAGCCAGCAGAGAAAATGATGACATTGCAATTAATTATCAGACAAGAAATGCTCAGCTATTAAGGTATTTAATACCACACTCTTCCCCCTAGTATTTAATTGGCAAGGAATCACACAGAAAGAAAGAAAAACTGTAAAATGTTTCACTTGAAATAAGTATTGGGACTGTGGGAGGTTAAACAAAGCTCAAGTGCTTGGTATATAAAACATGTAGTAACAATGAACATAAATTCAATCTTTATTCTGAGAATATTTACAAAATAAATAGTAATACCCTCTCATAGTTAACATGTTTCAAAAATGAAACAAGAATTTAAGTTCTTCGTACAGCATGATCCACCTTTTCAAATTTCATGTTAAAGTTTTATTTTCATCTAATATTTATAGACCATCAGACAAAAACAGCGTTAAGTTTTTCCTCTTCAAGTGAATGTTGTATTTTAGAAATTTGGATTACTGACATAGTAATTTATATTCTTTGATATACCAAGTGATTTTTTTTTTCCCCCTGAGAAACTTCAGTTGTTATGACTTACCAGCTTTTTAAGATCAGCTGTAACAAATCGCCTTTTCTAATCGGTAACAATGCAATCCGTTAGTCAAGAAGAAAGATTTTTAAAACACAAATTGTACAGAAAAGTAGTATAAGAACAAAATTCAAACAAAACACTCGTGCAAACACACCACAAGCTTTGTAAAGGTCTGAGAGGGAGTTTTCTAACGCATGTGGGCTACAGTTATGACACGTAACAGAGACACAGTTAAGGCCCTACCTGTAACTAACACTCTGCACCTCTTAAAAACTGGTCTCTTGACTGCTTTCAGTGTTGGTTAACACAGCTGGGTAGGTAATAAGCAGGTGACAAACTTGACAACTAATTTAAGACATTACCGTGGAAAAGCTCAGCTTCAGAACATTTTAATTTGTGGTTTGCATGCTACTACTAAAGTTCAATCCCGCATGGATTGTAACAAGACATTAGGAAACTTCCCAGGTTTTCTGTTCAGGACAGGGACCCTCAAAAACCATGGCGTTGTTTTTTATCATAAACTTCTACTTTACACCAAGCACGTCACCCGGTGAGCTGGCACTCCTCCAAGCAAGTCTCCCTTTCTACCTCGAAACAGAACTTCTTAACCAGCTCGCAAACTCTTTCAGCGTCCGTACAAATTTATTGTTGGCTATAGAATCTCTAATTCTTTCAGAGTAGCTTTCTTCTTTCCATATTCCTTTATTTTTCTTCAAGGCCCTTAACTCTGCTTGAAGCAGCCTCTTCTGAAGTTTCCAGTACAGGCGGGAATCATGATGCAGTCCTTCAATACGCGCTGTTCTGCCGAGCCCTTGTCTCAAGATCTCTTCATTTAAGCACATGCTGAGAAATCGACCCTAGAAGAAGGCACAATAAATATGATATTCACTTCAGCTTTAAAACACTTTGTGTGTGTGTGTGTGTGAGAACTCCCTCTGAGATACAAGCTTTACTTATGGCTAAATAGACGCTCTGGCAGGAAGAGTTAAAAGTTAAGAGGAATCCAGCTGACAGTACTAATGCAACACATCTGTGAGAGAACATTCGCTGGACTAAATATTAGGCTAATCAGGACTACACAATATAGCCTAGTACTACCTGACAGAGAAATACGCTCGTGTCACAAATCAGTCTGCAGAAATACCGGTCTTGAAATCAGATCTACAAACACAACAGTTAAAATCTGTATCAAGATGAAAAAATTCCTTAAATGTAGTGAGGTGACCGTGGTTATGCAATTCAGTTAAACTGCAGATAAAAGTAATTTTTTGTCATGATATTTACCTTATTTACTAAAACAAGGCACTCGAGCGCCGAGTCCTCCCTCCCGAGCAGCTGGAACCACACCATTTGCCTGGGTTTCAACTCCTGCCGTAACCAGGCCGTGCCTCCGGGAGCCAGCTCCACCCCAGCCAGCCTAACCAGCAGAAGACCTTTCGATTGCCCTGGTTGCAGACAGAGAAAACTCTGTTACTGAATGCAGCAAAGGAAATCCATACTTTGCCCCTCAGCTGTCAGTAATGAATTAAAAAAAAAAAAAAAAAAAAAAAAAAAAAGAGGAAAAGAATCCATGTTAGTTCCCCAAAGCACTACTTATTCACGAGTAAGAATTTGGTCGCACCTCTCCTTCAATAAAAAAATTTAATTCAAGATAGTGTAAGCGGTTTAAGCTAGTTTATTTTGCATACAAATAGAACCACTTGTGTTATCAGCCACTCTCATTTTATCTGCAGGGGCAGACACAATAGGCAAGAAGCACCAGCCCTGCGGGTATTTGTGAACAGAGCACCAGCCCTGCGGGTATTTGTGAACAGAGCACCAGCCCTGCGGGTATTCCCAGAGCCAGTGTGGCTGCAGAGTTGAGGGACAACTCTGTCCGAAACCAGCAAGGATGGGTTTGTGTGTGTGGCTGCCAGATCCTCATCCCTCAATAAACACACAAAGCCCATAGAGGGTTTTTGCCGGGCAGGAGCTGAGCTATGCAAGCGAACGAGCTGCTGCCTGCGTGCTAGCAGAAAAATATCAGGATAATGATGTTAATTAATACAGTGTACTGGCAAGCTCTCTCCCCAGGTCTCCTCGCAGTCCTTTTTTTCCCCAGTTCCCTACCTGCGAAGTATGAAAAGACCAGAAGAACTGTACCTTAAACCTTCCTCTCCAGCTTGCCGCTGCCGGTTCTCTGCGCGGACACACCAAGCACAGCACCGTTCCCTTCCTACCCTTGCTCTTCACCTACTCGTACTTACATTTTCTCTGTATCGATGTAATGAAAGGAATGCTAATGGGAATGTGTTCAACTTCCAGGCCTTTCTCCGTGATGTGATGCAACGTCCCCCGCAATTTCACATTCTTTTCTACGAACTCCACAGGTATATCCAAAGCACTTGTAAACTTCGTTGTCTGTTGATGGAAAGAAGAGCAAGGCAGTTAAAAAAACCCAACAAAAACAAACAAACAAACCAACCAAACAAACAAAACCCAAAGTGGAGCAGTTACAATCACATTAAATTGACAACTTCTTAAAATAGTTTGGCAAATTACAGATCTACTTTTAGACAGCGAGGAGCTGCAGAAGCCGTTACGTGCCAGCCTTTGCAGACACTTGGGGATGTTCCCTGGTTTACAGGACTTGCAGTCTGAAGGGTGGGTGTGAAAGCAAGGTTTGAAAAAAGAACAAAGTGACATTTTTTTGAACAGTGCAGATTGAAGTTCACTCGATTCACGGCGAAAAGAGTGTTTTAGCAGTGGCCTGGATGGTGCTAGAATAGGGGTGAGAGGAAGCCGCAGGAGCAAAGAACAGACACACTGAAAACAAAGGTGGAGCAGGGAGGGCAGAAACAACACGGGCTTTGATAAGGGAGTCAAAGTGGAGAGGGACAAAAGCAGGTGTACACTTGGAACAGATCACAAGGAGATTAAATGTAATACCACAGGCCTCGAGTAACGGGAGGATTCAAAGGGGCAGTTACATGATCACACGGGAACACAAAGCTTAGCAAAGACTCAGCCAGCAGCACCCACCTGGTTTAGGGGGTGGAGGGAGAAGGACGGGCGCTGGGGATTTAAGACACTAATGGGGATTTAAGACACCCAGAATTTAAGACACTGTGGTCGCAAGGTCTCACTGGCAGGAGCCCGTTTGTTGTAGAACACTGACCTACACGGAGGTGAAAAGGGCCCATCTGCTTGGGAACAGCTGCTGGGATGCACCAGCCCTTGGGGAAAATAAAAAAAAAGCAAAACACCACGACTGAACTCAAAGACTTTTCTCCTGTGTTATTTATTCAGTAAACCTCGCCATTTGTGGGCTGCGTGGCCTCCCGCTAGGAATACAGAAACTCAGGACCTTGCAGACTGGGGGCCTGAAGGGTTTTACAAGCAGAAGTTGCCCATGTCTGATGGCATTTGCACTGGGAGTTCCAACAGCCCGGTTAACCCATGTACAAACCCTTGGTTTAAAAGAAAAATAATAAACAAACAGAAATAAAAAAGGAATTTTGGCACATTTGTAGTTCAGGCTTTCCGATGAGATTCTGGAGTAAAAACTGTACCCATACTCTCTCATAGCAAACTGCACATGGAAACCTACAGTGTGGAGATCAGAGGAATTATTATTTTTCAAACATCTGGAAGCAACGACGAGGGGTCTCTCCCCACCAGGGACCGGCGGGATGCGCTGGCACATGCCCTGACCGGCTCATTTCGGGAAGCGCAGGAAGATTTCAGTTCAAAACATCCCAAAAAGCAGCTCTGTTCATGGCAGGACGGAGAAAAGATGCGAGGAAACCGCCTCGATTTCTGCTCGTTTGGCCTCGGGGTGCGAGTCCGCGCTGCCCGCCCGCAGAGCTGACGGGCCGGGAAGGCGCGGCCGACATGAACGAGCAGCTCAAGCGCCAGAAAACACGCACACGCACACACACACACGCACACACACACACACACGAAAAGGACGGTGCCTCGGCTCTGGCCGCCGAGATACCGCCTGCGAGAGGAAAGCGGCGTCGCCCACCGCGCCCCGCGGCGCCCGCACTCACCATCCGGAGGCTGCGG